GGGGGCTTACTGTCGACTTGGCTGAGGGTTATGGGGGCCATTTTGTCGGTGATGGAGAGTTGATTGATTGATATATAGAAGATGAAAGTGTCGGAGTTGATGAATGATGATCTAGACTGTTTGAGCCGCAGTGGGACTCTGGGGTGGACTAACCGCTTTTGGTAGTTGACTCTGATAGGCTCAGACAATCTTATACTAGTATTGTTTACATTATATACTACTAGTAGTACGGAGTACTCATTATGATTCATGCATGAATGCAACGCTTGTCTAGTATTGACAATATATACGTATAGAACAAAATTAGTCCAGTTTCTATTACCCCTCCCAATTCAATAATAATTACACCTCCTTCGTCCGGAGTGGGATATTGGGTATCTCGATCTCCGTCTCCATCTCAAGTCCTGACAGGCTGGGGAACCGTCGGCTGAAGTTGGCCTCCCAATCTTCGCCCGGCGTAGTAGGCGTGGCCTGGCTGCGCTCGTTGATCACCTCCGATCCCCTCACGCGCAGGCTCTTGGGTTTGGGAGGTGCTGCGGGCCGAGACGACCCTGTGCGCTGTGATTGCGCATAGCCACTGTTGGTCGTCTCTTGTCGCGGCAGACCCGCCGTCTCCCACCGGTCCTTCACAGGCGATGCTTGTCCCTGCGCTCCGTACAGGGACCCCGCCGCGCGTGTGTTGATCCGCGGCTCCGGAAGAGGTTCGTTCTGCTTCGCCGGCAAAGCAGGGTTCATCTCCTCCGTGAACCGGCCATAGCCCGTGGCCGTCTTCGGGGGCGGCGCCGACTTGTTGCTTTCCTCCAAGAAGGTCTGCACCCGGTTCTGAATCGACGACCGCGTGTCGGAACGGAAGCCCCCCTCCCCGCGTTCCGCCACCTGTCGGCGATACTCGGCAGCAGCGTTGGCGACGCGCTTCTCCTCCTGGGAGAGACGGCGGCGCTCCAGCTCCCGACGCATCTCCGGAGAGATGTCGTCGTTCTCGGCGTCACTGAGTTCGGCGGGCGCCTCGACCAATTCGGACGAAGTGATCATGACCTGCTTCGGCTCTTCAAGAGCAGGAGACTGGGCTTTGGATTCCGGGTTGCTCTGCTCGAACCGCCGGAATGCATCGCCAAATCGCCCTGCAAACAATGTCTTGGTCCCCGACAACGATAACGTAGAAAGACTCGACCGCTTGGTGTGTTTGGAGCTGCCACTGTACCGCTTCTCTTTCTTCCGGCTGCTCTCCTCTTCCCTCGCCCGGAGATAGTCGATGTCGGATGAGATGTTGGCCCGGTCCGCCTCGGTCCGCGCATGTTGCAGCGGCACGCCCATGTCGTATGAGGGCCTGGGGATATCGAGTGAGGAGCGTGCGCTCTCGGAGCCTCGGCCAAAGTCATACTTGGACGCTGCCTGAACGGAAAACGGGCGAGACTTGCTGTTTGCTGATTTGGATCGACTCGTGAGCTCTTCCAACTCCAAGGTCGATGGTCGCACGCCTTCCAGGGACGGCCGCGCCGACGAGGTCGACAGATCAGAGATGCGGTCCGCAGATGTTCTTGGGTCCGCGGAGGGCTTCGTAGGGGACGGAGGGTTGAGGGGCCGGGAAATTTTCTTGTCGCCGTCCGCGGGCCACGGTTGGCTGGAGGGCCGGCGCTGATGGTCTGATGAAGGGAATCGATAGATGGGGCGGCTAGGGGGTTTCAGCTCCGGCACCGACGGCGTGTGGGGTGGCGACGTCATCGTGCCTGTGGAGACCATGGTCGGCTTCTGCGGCACCGGTTGGTACAGTGGCACCTGCGACGGCTGGGGCTCCTCGCGGTAGTTGAACGACTCGGAGGGCCGGCTCTTGACGTGCGACGGCTGGGACTGCTTCTGTACCGGTGGTTGGGGAGCCGGCTCGCTCACCGCGGGCGAAGGGCGTTTCGCGAAGGCCTCATCGGCCAAGGCATTGGTGAGCCTCTGCGCAAGATCGCCATCCTCTTGTTTCGTCTCGGCGAAGGCTGGCTCGAAGTCGAACTTGCCACCCTTCTCGTGCAGAATATCAAACTGATCCAACGAGGGGAACCGATTCGTAAACTCGTCTGTAGAGTTCCGGGATTTCTGGCCGCCATCCAAGACGGCGAAGGGGTCTGTGGAGCCACCCCGGAATGGAGAGGGGCTTGGCTTTGCGGAAGTGTGCTGAGAACCGGTCGGTTTTGTCGGCCGCCCGCGCCGCATGGGAGCAATCTCTGGGATGATCTGGGTCTCCTGGACCGGAGGAGAGAACACTGCGCCGACTTGCGGTGTCTCCGTCGGGGACGGCGGCAGTTCCTGATACCGGCGGGCTTCCGACCTAGAGCGATTCGCGTAGATCTACACAAGTAAGGAACCGAGCACGAATCCCGCCATTGGGAAAACTCACATCTCGAATTGGAACTTCTTTTCCTTGCATGTGGCAGACTTCTTGCATCACCTCGTAGATATTTGGGCGCTTTTGCGGGTTCTCCTTCAACATCCATGCTAAGCCGAAATTAGTATCCCCTCACGGCCGACATTCAACTAAACTTACCGATGAGCATCCTGAGGCGATCCGAGAAAACAGGGTAGGAAGGGAATTTGTAGGTCGCATTTAGGATGGCCATTTGGCCCACTTCTTCGAACGGGGTTGTATAGTAGCATAGCTTGTATAGAAGTACACCTAGCGCCCAGATATCGCTCTTCTCGTCGATAGGTTGCTTGCGATAGACATCGATCATCTCCGGACTCCGGTACTGCAGCGTCGTGTGCCTCTGTACGTCGTCCTCAATCAGGCGGCCCTCCGCGGCCGACGTCGCCGCTGGACGAGGGGGCGCTGCAGAGCCAAAATCGCACAGCTTATAGACACTTGAGGTCCCATGTCGAGATATGAGAACATTCTCCACCTTCAGATCACGGTGCAGCAAAGGGGGTTTCAGGTAGTGCATGCAGGCCACTCCCTCGGCTACATCCGAGAAGATCTGGATAATCTCCGGTTCTGTCAACCGATGCTGCAAGCGCGTGTTCATGAAGTCGATCAAGCCTCCGCCCGAACAGAATTCCATGAGCAGGAACACTTCGTAGCCGCCACCCCGGAGCTGAGACGCATGAGAGTCGAAATACTTCACAATGTGCCGGTGTCCCTTCAATTTCTTCATTGTCTCGACCTCGGTCCGCATGTTGGCGAGCGCCGCTTTGTCCGGCACGGCGACCCGCTTCAGCACCGCCCTCTCTGAACCCTCGACGGGCTGCGGAAGACGTACGACGTAGACATGGGCAAATCCACCTTCGGAGAGGTACTTCTCGACGACCACGCGATGACTACCGACCTGGACTTTGGTGCCTGGCAAGAAGGTGCCTGCCGGGGCGTTCACCGCGGCCAACGGATTGTACGACGGAATCGGCCTATGAGAGGCGGCATGGCTCTGATAGGATTGGGGGTTCGACTGATAGGACATGGTGACTGGGGAAGCCCTCGAGGGGCGAGATTAAATGGCCGGTCGTAGGAAGAACTATGGTCGCAGCATAGAGGAAACGGTCAGAGACGAGGAAAGGGTCGGAGTCGGAAGTCAGGAAGGGCGACTGATACAGAGGACAGTTGGCGGCGGGGAGGTGGATAGGAGGAGGAGGCGGTGATTTGGGGGCAGAGCGGTACCTGACTGGACCCCGGTGCAAGGAGGGTAGAGGTGTGTTGGCGGGAAAAGAGGGAGGGATCGAAGACCGGTGGACAGAGAACGAAGTCTTCTTCAGATTGGAACCAACACAGCGTTCAAGGGGAACTGGGAGGAGAAGAAAGAACTGCGCGCTCCGACTGACCAGCAGTTCACTGACTTCGTAGTTTGGGACCGTGCCTTTGGTTGGCTGGCAGTCACGGGCATTTCCCCGACCGCTGACTCAGCCGCGAGCATCTCCAGTTTTTCCCCATGTTGCTCTCTTACTACTCCATATACTCCTCGTCTATCTTCTAGAAACCTAGAAACGGTCATTGCATTGTCCCTGGTCCTTGTTCTCATTACGACTCGTGGATATTCTACAGGATCATCGTGACGCTCAGGAACAGTGCATGACCTCGGGTCATGAGAACCCTGGGAATGCCGACGCTTCGGCCATGGAAACCGTGTCGGCATAGTAATCTGCCAGCCAACGGCAGTCGCACGCGAGATAACAACGATGATCGCTAAAGTTGCCTGTGGATAGGCGTGTAATTCATTTCAATCTTGCCCCCATAAAAGATCCAAAATGAAACCAGAAGCAAAACCCAGGCGAGACCACTTCAGACTCGGCCCAATCCATTCGCCACCCGAGGTCCAAAGCAAGTGCATTCCGTCCCATACTTTCATCACTAGTCATGTCATTTTCGGGTCATCCGACCATTCCATAGTCACATCTTCACACGGAACTGCCATCCCGAGGCCAAAACCCTGGCAGCGATCAAGGCGGCCGTCCCGACCAACAATGACGTGCCTGCCCAGATCTGCGCTGGCAAATAATTTCCCCCTGCGTTCGCAATCATTGCCCCAGCTACCGACGGCCCGGTGAGAGGCGCGACACTGGTCAGGGTCAACACCATGCCTACGCGAGTACCTATCTTGCTGATGTCCTTGGTCAATGACGGCACGGTACCGGCAAACAGACCCATGGCCGCGGCGGACGCAAGACCGTAGAACACCGCAAAGACGTACAACTCAGCGACGTTGTGTACGGCGGCCCAGCAGTAAATCAAGATCCCGCAGAGGGCCACCCACGGGATGAGACTGTTTAGTGGGCCGATCCATCGGTCAGCAAGATACCCGCAGGGAGCTCGAATCACCATGCCAGCTGCATTTATGATGATGATCAGGTTGACCCCGGCAGCCTGCGAGAGACCCAACTCTTTGGTGGCGTAGACTTGGATCTGCAAGGAATCAGTCAACATCGCCAGCAAGGCCCGGCATACGGGGCTTCTCACATAGAAAAAAGCAAAGTACAGAGTCCAATACAACAGGAAGATCCCAAACGTGAAGAGCATGTAAGAGGTGTCTTTGAACGCGGTCCATTCGACCAGTGGACCGGACTTGCGAGGTGGAAGCCGAGTGCGCACCAGCAGATTGATCAGGATGACCATAAAAAGGACAATAAATCCCATGCAGCGGACAGCCCACGGAAACCCTAAAGGTGCAGCGTCAATACGGCATGACTACCTTCGCATAAAAGGAACCAACCTATCTTCGGGGTCAAATACTGAATCACTGCAGGGAATATCATTCCACCCGTGCTTGTACCCGTCGCAGCAGTTGTCACAGCGAATACTCGCTTCCTAGCGAAATATGTGGAAATCACTGTCACACTGGGCAACCACATCAGACCCTGTCCGATCCCGATGCATACGCCCTGTGCGAGAAAGAGTTGCCAGTATGTGGTCGCTAAGCTGGTCATAAACGTGCCCACAAGCATGAAGATCGATCCGGCCAGTATCATTGGCCGGGCAAAGCCAGCATCCGTGGCCCGTCCCGACAGGGTTGAAATGAACAAAAGGCTAAATACTTGAACGCCTCCGATCCAGGAGATATCAGCGGCTGACTGGGGGAGCGTGGTTTCATAGTAATTCTGAAAGACGCCAAAGCTCGAAACGTAACCCCAGGTGAGGGCTAAAATCAGATGTCCTGATACCACTTGAGCCCATGCCTCAAAACCACCGTCAGGCGGCGGTGGTGATTGCAGGGGGATCTCGCTCGGTGGCAGCGCCGTATCTGTAGCTTCATCTTCTTTGACCATCGTTAAGTATATTCAATACAAGCCGCAGGTCCGTCTAGAGTCTGGACTATGCGGAAAGGGTCAGTCTGACGTTGAGGGGAACACTCAAGTAGGGTTTGATACGGCCTCATCTGGGTATCCCCATGGCATTTTGGGCCAATGATCTCAGTTTCAAACGCCGAGGGCAAGCTCGAGGATTGGTCTGATTATCCCAATAGACTTTCGTCATGATCAGTTAATGCAACAACGCAATCCGTGGCCAACCAGCTCCAGGTGAATGGTGACACTCGGGACACGTGATCGCCTTTGTTCATGGGGCATCATACTAGAATTCGTGCAGGGGAAGGCAAGGTCTACCAGAAGGAGCTTTGTTAATATATGAACGTCTGTGCTGCATTATATACAACTAGAAATAGGTGAATCGCAAGAAATCGTCAACATCATAAGCAATCAACAACAGGGGGAATCTCTGTACAAACGAAGGTCTAGCCAGAATGACACTATGCAAGGCTGGATCTTGAAACAACATCTCGCTATGAGTGGTGAGGTGAATAATATATACTGTATAGCAACCCAAGTTGGATTGGTGAAAAGCACTGAAGCTGATCAGATGTATCCAAGGTTCCCGAGTATCGAGCGGCCCTCATTGACCGACATGTTCGTCACCCCCAGAGATCGTACTAGCGCCCCCTTGCGAAGTCGCTGAAGCCCGATGCCCACCTTCCAACCTTCTGTCTCTTCCAAGACGAAAAGATACTTTCGACCCTCCTGGTCACGAATGCTGGCCCGTAGCACATGGAGCCCCTGTTTCTCAGACTGCGGCCCTGGCGACGCAAGGCGACATGTATTCTTGCACACCTTCAGTAGATTGAGTAGGTATGCATCGGATTCCGCTGATGAAGGTCCTTCGTCCCGTCGACCAAAGAATGAACTCTGCTTGGGAGGGTTATGCTTCTGGGAGGCATATTGTGGACACCACACCTCGACCAACTTCATCGTCCAAGCCTTGACGTCCCATTCTCGCTGACCCACTCCCCGGATATCGTCGTCAACGAACAGCCCTTCGGTAGTGATACGCAGAACCAGTCCGTCCGTCACCATTCCCTGCCCAGAGACCAGCTGAGCCGCTGGGCTTTTAATAAAGGCATTGTTGAACTGGAAGACACCCTTGATAACAATCTTATCCGGGTCTTTAGTTTCATACCGTCCTCGGTTTGATGGTGGAGGTGATGTTCGAGCTGTGGATTGGGAAGGAGCGTAGGATGATTCAGAGTATGCTGACGAGCTTGACGTACCCCCATATGGCCGTCGAGGTCTGTCGTAAGGTCGAAAGGAATATGCATCGTCTTGGTCGGCGGACATCGTGGTTCGTGCTCCAGACGGGGGCTTCTTCGGGGATGGGCTTCGCGGAGGGACTGATGCGCTGCCTGCTTTTTCCTTGGCAGTCTTCGCCGCGGCTTCTTTCGCTGCTGCTGCCTCCTTGGCCGCTGCCTCTTGGGCATCTTTGGCCTTCTTCTCGGCATACTTTTTTGCTGCCGCCTCCTTGAGGGCTGCAAACTTGGCATCAGCCTCCTTCTTTGCAGCCGCTTTTGCAGCCGCTTCCTTCTCTGCGGCTTCTTTCTCCGCCTTAGCTTTTGCTTCAGCGGCCTCCCTTTCAGCCTTTGCCCGAGCTTCGGCTGCTTCCTTCTCGGCACGCTCTCGTGCCTCCTTTGCCGCTGCTTCTCTGGCAGCGGCCATCTCTTTCTCGAACTGCTCCCTTTGTTCACGCATTTCCTTCTCCATCGCCTCGCGCTCCTGCTGTCTTTGCTTTTCTTGCCGCTCAGCCTCTCTCTTCCGCTTGAACTCTTCCATTTTCCGTCGAAGCTCCTCTTTCCGTCTCGCCTCTTCACGTGCCTTTTCTTCCCGTTCTCTTTCTGCGCGGGCCTTCTCCTCACGGGCCTTTTCCTCGCGAGCTCTCTCCTCCCGGGCTTTTTGCTCCCGAGCTTTTTCCTCCCGGGCTTTTTGCTCTCGGGCCCTTTCCTCTCGGGCCCTCTCCTCACGAGCCTTCTCTTCCCGAGCTCGCTCCTCGCGAGCTTTCTCTTCGCGGGCCTTTTCTTCCGCTCGGGCCTTCTCTTCGGCCTTGGCCGAGTCGGGCTTATTTGGTCCTGGGCCAGCGTTAGGGGGAGGTGTCTGAGGCGGAGGGCCGGCACCATACTGATTTCCAGAGTACTGGCTCCCTGGCGGAGGTCCATAATTTCCGCCGTAGTTCCCTCGCTCTCCACCAGCATTACCCGAACCTCTCTCATATTCTCCGGCACCGGCCTGGCCAGTACTGCCTCTGGCACTTCCGGAGCCAGCACCACCCCCCTTTCTTCCAAACCCCGAGACCCCAAACCCAGCTTGATACACGCCAAATCCCCATCCCGCAATGCCAACTCCGATCCCTAAGAGACCAATACCCATCCCTCCGCCGCCGCCGCCGCCGCCGCCGCCGCCACTCGCGGCAGCAGCCATATACCACGTCTTGAAAATTGGCGATATAAAAGACCACACAAGGACAAGGAACAGGGTGCACACCGAGCCCGCGACGAAGCTATTCCGCTGGCATTGCAGCGACGGGAGATAGAGGAAGCCCGACCCGGACGAATGCGGCGGAATGATGAAGATATCGTAGTTCCCTTCGGGCAGGTCCGACGCTTTCCGGTATTCGTGGCCGTGGGTGGTGTTCGGTTTCTCGCCGTGAGGGGGAGGAGGAGGGGGTGGGCCGTCCATGGCGAAGTGATTCGGTCAGTTTGCAAAACGGACTGGCTGTCTGGGATGGTCTGTCGTCTGCGGGCTCTCGGGGAATTTATTCCCCTGCTGATTTTGCAATGGCCTATAGATGTGATGATAGTGTCTGGCGCGTGGACGGCGATATATACAGCATGTTTTCAAGATGACATTCAATAGGCGCTGAGGCACCGGCTCTCAGCGCTGGTCTGGAGGAGATTGGATGTGAGTGATCGGAGCGAACGAACGGTATTCCCCGGAACCATACCTAATCTCAATATTTCAAAGTATATACGAACAAAAAAGAAAATACACAATAAGCCGAAGCGAGACCGATTAAATTAAAATCCAGGTAAAAAGGCAGTGAGGTGGGAAAGCGGGATGGAAAGTGAAAACAAAACAAGCGGCAAAGGAACAGCCGAGAGGGTGTGATGATTGACCCGGGGTTCGTTTTAAATGAGCGCGGCCAGTTACCGTCCGTTGAACCTTGCAGGCAAACCGTTCCCAGAAACGGCAAGTGAATGGACGCTCAGAAGAAGAAGTTATGCTGTGTAACGTGGGATGTTCGTGTTCTTCTTCTACTATCTATGGAGGATTCGAGAATGACAGGTGTTGTTGCCATTGTGATTGAGTTTGGTTGTTGTTTATAAATCATAGCAACTAGAGTACGAGCATGGGGCTCGTATGTACTGTACATTGCGTTACTTACAACACAGTTGCGCTTACAGTGGTTATCGAAAAGATCTTGTTGCTTAGCTATGAGTCTCATGCTTCATGCTTCATCTCAGCTCATCTACTTATCCCTCTGGCATTCCAACATTCCCGCGGAATGAGCCTAGACGCGATTCAGTTCCACCCTGAATCTGTTACCCGCCCGGACATGTTTGGCTGAGACATCGCTGTTCTTTTTCCGGGCCACTTTATTGGATATACGTCAAATAAAGAGGAATGGCTGAACTGATCACTCTTATTAAGTAGTTACTTCTGTGTACTTGACAGCTATGATCAAGGTTGTTTGTCAAGTCCTACAGTTGAGGTCACTAAGTCAGTGTACATTGATTTTCCTCCATAGATACAACTAGTAGAACAACTCCACTTTGTTTGTTTTGATTTTGCTGCTTGGGTGTTAGCGTTGGGCGCGGCCCATGCGAGATTGCCATTGGCCAGTGCGATCAGATACTTGTCGATCTCCTTAGGTAAGATCGTCGGAGGGAAAAGTAATTCTCCGGGGTCCCTATTGGGTTAGGAGTTGTAGTTCGTGCGGAAGGAAAGTTAGATTGCGAGGAACCACTGGCATTTGCTTGCATTTGCTGTCAGCTCGAACAATGAATAGACTTTCACTTGCCACATGACTTCAATGGATGAGTTGGGTAAGCTTCTACGTGTAAGTCCTATGAAAATTAAAGGGTAGACTAGTATACACTATACCATAAAGGAGAGCCTATGAATTTATTCGCCCTTGATATGCAACGAGTATCATGGATAAAGACATCGCGTTGTGGCTGACAATGGTGACGCTCATATACTCATTGTCACTAGTATAAGGAATATATTGAACGCAAAACGCCTCTCTAATCCACGACGAGCGTGTACTGTTTTGTGGAAGCTATTTGGCGTATACTTAAGCTACTCAATAGTGGAAAGTTTGAATATATATTTCGTAGAATCTCAATTTCACTGTGCCACCAGGGAATATATTTCGCGACGGAACAGACCCATCAGGGGTTCTCTGATATGAACAGAGTTCTAAGAGTATAAAATATCCAAGAACATTGGTACTTCCCATACACTCAAGGGTGTGATGCCAACCATGCAGGGCTTGATGATAATACATGTACAGGTTGTTGATGGTGCAAGAAAGGACATTGATCGATGGATACTAGCCAGCAGGGGATGAACATCGCTATGAGGACTCCAACAAGCATGTCTTATCAAGAACTAGTCACAGCTTCAACAAGGAGGGGTTACACCTGCGCACACCACAGACTAAGGAACAGTCACAGTCTACGCTGGTAGGGCATTGTTGAATGTGATTAGGCCTAGAGATCCATGTGACAACTCACAGAAAACAACTTACGGTCTACAGAAAACAGATTTAACGAAAAAAGTCATGATTCAAGTCTGTAGGATCAACTACATAACTCAAGTCTAAATTCATGAGAATTCCATATTTTTGTGCTCATAAAAGGTTCATAATTGCATCCCCGCACATATTAACCAGCTTATTTCTTGCCGGCCTTCTGGGCGGCCTTGGTAACCTTACCAGCGGCGCCAGCAGACTTCTCGACGCTCTTGATGACACCGACAGCGACGGTCTGTCTCATGTCACGGACAGCGAAACGACCGAGAGGAGGGAAGTCGGTGAAGGACTCAACACACATAGGCTTGGAGGGAACCATCTTGACGATGGCAGCATCACCAGACTTGATGAACTTGGGGTTGCTCTCAACAGCCTTACCGGTACGGCGGTCAATCTTCTCAAGGAGCTCAGAGAACTTGCAAGCAATGTGAGCGGTGTGGCAGTCGAGGACGGGAGCGTAACCAGCGCCGACCTGACCGGGGTGGTTGAGGACGATGACCTGGGCGTTGAAGGAAGCGCAGCCCATGGGGGGGTCGTTCTTGGAGTCACCGGCAACGTTACCACGGCGGACTTCCTTGACGGAGACGTTCTTGACGTTGAAACCAACGTTGTCACCGGGGTTACCGGCCTGGAGCTGCTGGTGGTGCATTTCAACGGACTTGACTTCAGTGGTCACGTTGGCAGGAGCGAAAGTAACGACCATACCGGGCTTGATGACACCAGTCTCGACACGACCGACGGGCACAGTACCGATACCAGAGATCTTGTAGACATCCTGGAGGGGAAGACGGAGGGGCTTGTCGGTGGGACGGACCGGGGGCTCAATGGCATCGATGGCCTCGAGCAGGGTCTTACCGGTGGACTTGCCAGCCTTGGTCTCCTTCTCCCAACCCTTGTACCAGGGGCAGTTGGTGGAGACCTCGATCATGTTGTCACCGTTGAAACCGGAGATGGGGACGAAAGGAACACCCTTGGGGTTGTAGCCGACCTTCTTGATGAAGTTGGAGGTCTCCTTAACGATTTCGTTGTAACGGTCCTGGGACCAGCCGTTGGTGTCCATCTTGTTGAGGGCAACAATGAGCTGACGGACACCGAGGGTGAAAGCGAGCAGAGCGTGCTCACGGGTCTGGCCATCCTTGGAGATACCAGCCTCGAATTCACCAGGGCCGGAGGCAATGATGAGGATAGCGCAATCAGCCTGGGAGGTACCAGTGATCATGTTCTTGATGAAATCACGGTGACCGGGGGCATCTATTGAGCTTTTGTTAGATGGCTGCGGCATGAACAAGGCTGGTTGCAACTCGATGCTTACCAATGACGGTGACCTCATACTTGGAGGTCTGGAACTTCCAGAGGGCAATATCGATGGTGATACCACGCTCACGCTCGGACTTGAGTTTGTCAAGAACCCAAGCGTACTTGAAAGAACCCTTACCGAGCTCAGCGGCTTCCTTCTCGAACTTCTCGATGGTACGCTGGTCGATACCACCACACTTGTAGATCAGGTGACCAGTGGTGGTGGACTTGCCGGAATCGACGTGGCCGATAACGACGATGTTGATGTGCTGCTTGTCTTCCTTACTGTGGCGAGAGGATACGGGTCAGTCATGCTCTGAGAGATACTCGGACTCGCAAGTATGATGGACTTACCCCATTGTGAAGGTTTGTGAACTTTGTAGTTCTTTGTAAGATACTAGAAAGGTTCTTTAAAAAAGCTTGCTCAGATACTACGGCTGATCGCGTAGAGGTACTGAGCAAAACAGATGTCAGTAAGGAAACAGAGGAATGAAAGGATGAAGGAAAGGAAAGGAGGTAGGGGCGAGAGATATACGTACTGATGCGGACGAAGAGAGAAAGAGAGAAAAAGTTGTGGGAGGGGAAGGAGGGGGAATCCTTATATGGAGGGGCAAGCGAGAAGGCGAATTAGTGGGCGGGCTTAAGCCCTCGACCGCCGCCCTTATCATTGGACATGGAGGGGTAATGCCCCACCACGCATGTGCGGGACCGACGCAGAATCTGCACGGCGGAGTCTCTTCCAGACTGCTGACTTTTGGGCGTTGACTCTTGTTGCTGCGGCCTTTTGGGTACACCAACCTCGTTGATCTTGCGTTTCCTTGGTTCCCTTTCGCTCGGAGCCCCGACAATGACCCCACCACAGGTCACTATCCTGCCTCGACGATAAAAATTTTTTCTTGCCTTTGAGTGTACTGTGGATTTTGGACAGACACACTGGGCATCAACGCAGTGGTGGGCTGCTTCGTTTGCTGCGTGTTGTACATGTTTGCATCTGAACCCCGCGGTCGTCTGAGGCATCAATTGGTCCTCTCCCGGTCAACATCCAAGCAGCTGTGGCCCGGCCGAGTGGCGCCCGTCTGATCCACAGTGGGAAGGAATCTATTTTTTTTTTTTTTTTTTTTTCTCACGATGCATATGCTCTTAGGAGGCAAGAGGCAACGTCGACAGACCAATTAATAACCTAGAAAAAATTTTCATCCTATTCTATTTCAATTTTTCCCTCTTGTTTTTCACACATGATCGCTGCTGTGTGTGCCCCTCATTGAGATGAATCCTTTACTGTCTCGGACTCTTGACTAGTTTCCTTAGGTAAGATCACTTGTTGCCCCTCCTGAGCGGTGACAATCTGGTAAGTTGTCAATGAAAAATTTTCATATGGCAAGGGAGCTAAGAATAAAAAAATCTTAATTAAAAAAATTCTTTTCGAGAGCAGGTCCCGTGTTTGGGAACAACGCACAAGCTTACCATGGATGAGGTCGTTCCTCCAATCCTAAACGGGCGATTACCTGCCGCCGCTAAGAGAAAATTTTGTCTGTTGATCTGCCATAGCTACGTATCTGCATGTAGTAGTTGGTTGGTCGGATAGTCATCATAGTAACCATTGAGGGGTATCGCTAAGCTAGTAAACCACCATACTCCTGGAAATCATTCACAACCGCCATCTACAGTTGTAACCAAAACATAACAACACCGCTTTTAAACGTTTCCCACCAGTCTAAATCACTTTTACCATAAGAACATTGAATAGGAAATTTCCCTTTCTTGAACGCCGGAAAGTGAAACTTCAGTTTTCTCTCCATCGGGCACCACAGCTGGTACACTGTTGACCACCGAGTCAGTATGCGCGCTATATGCAAGTCGTTTGCATGAACTAGGAAAGCCACCCACCTTCAAGAATGTAGTCATAGGTTCATCTGCACTTCGAATCTGCAGTTGGAAGAAATATGCACGGTCGCCATTGCAGTTCTCGGCGGGGCACTGGGCTGTAGGTGAAAAAGAGAAAGCATATGTTAGCCTCAACCGCGTCACTCTCGAGAACTGACATCACTTACTAGCCATGCTATCGGCATTCGCAAATTCTTCCTTCCCGCCAAAGACATCCTCCACTTCTTTCTGCTTCATCTCAGTTTTCTCGAAATAACTTTGTTCCAGAACATATTGATAGGGGCAGGTCCGGCACTCGAATCGATTGACCCCCAGAGGGTGTCTTGGAGTTGGGTCCGCGCGGGAGATCGTTAGTGCATTACTGCAATTAGGACAGACTGCAAGAAAGACAAGCCCCCAGGGTTAGCTATGTGCTGTAATGGACATGGCAGTCTGAGGGGAGAAGTGAACTAACAGGTCAAGGGCATTGTGAACAGTTATCGCTGGAGACTCAAATGTCAATAATCGGAAGAGAGCTATTTTCAGTCAATCAAGACGTAACGGGTCTTCCCTCCTACGTAGGATTCAATCGCGACACTTCGAATAAGCTGTAACTACTGCTATAGTTCCGCAGCAAGGGCTCATGCACATTGTAGACCCTTATCGGACAGAACTTGTCGTTGGTGGAGAGAAAAACCTCACCGCCTTTAGACCTCTTGTGGTTTGGTTTGCGGCTCTGTTGCAGAAAGATACCTAGCCTGAGGTACGCACCAATTGGGACGTGGGGCAAACCGAGTAAGCGGACCGGCACATCCATAATCCGAGCGGCTATCGCAGCGGGAGACATGCATTTACCCCGTAGCGCGGCGGGGAAATCTGTCAAGAGAATTGATATACGAACAAAGCCAAAGCCCTTCTAGTAAGTAGCCCCCGATGGTTATCTAGTGAATTTGAGCGCTGGGGAACGCTGCAAAAGATCTCCCAATTGTTGTTTCCCGTATGCTGACCATCCTTTTCCAGATCTTACTTTCCGGGATCTCCGTGTTAGCATACACCGCTTCCTATTACCTCCGCGGTTGACTTACCGTACTATTGTCATACCATTCTTAGCTACTGTCTCTATCACATTCACTGTTCTTCCAGTCGCAAGTCGAAGCGGCTACAGATCCTTTTGCTTTACTAGGAATACCTCCAATTCAGGCAATCATGGCGGACGAAGTACGTTTCTTTGTTGACTATATAGAAATCAGGTCGGCCGCTTATCATTGATCGATTAGGGTGCATCTCCTCGTGAACTGGTCGTTGAGGCTTGTCGTCGAGACCAGCCTCATTTGATTGAACAAGTCCTAGAGGGTATGGAAGAGAATTCGAATGAAGAAGTGGCCGAGTTCCTCAACGGTGTTACAGACCCATTGGGGAACCACGCTCTTCATATCTGTGCTTCATATGGCAGCTGTAAGTCGGACGGATGACGGACAGCCCCCAGCGACTACTATTGGTCGTGAAACAAGCAAACAAGGAATTCATTCTAACCGTACTCTACGATAGATGACACGATGGACTCTCTCTTCGATATCCAATATTTTGAATGCGACCCTCTCACCCGCCTCGACAAAGATACCCCCCTCCACACTGCTGTACGCTACGCCAATGAGAAGGGCGAGCCCGAACTCGCACTGGAGATGATCAAGATGATGTGCGAAGCTGGCTGTGACCCTCGTGTCAGGAATAAGCATGGTCAAAAACCCGCGGACCTTGTGTACAACAATCCGGAGATCAAGGCCATTCTCCAGCAGACCGAATACGTTCTTGCAGAGGGTCTAAGAGATGACGCGGGCAATGGTTCTGTTCATGACAGCGCAAGTGATAGCGAGTAATGAATAGAGGGACACCTATGGCGACGTTTCCTTCTTCCCTCCATAGACGCACGACTGTGATGATATGCTACTTTTACTTTCACCCATGGTTCAATAGATTGGTCAAATAATATATGCCACAGGCTTTGTACAGAGCGGAGCCCGACGCCCGGATCCTGCTCATATAGTGGCTTTTCCTGTCCCGCTGTACCCAAGGGTGCTGACGTTGCCTGCGAGGATAAACTACTATAGAAGTGAACACATACTGATTAGATTATCGGGATTAACACATTGGCTGCTAAAAGGTTATATTAGCTCATCGAGATCCTAGGCTTTGATAGCCACATACGGTCGGTAATAGTGCTAGTTAGTCTCGAGCTTCCACACAAAAGTACGCTCTTACATGCTAGTGCTTACGAGGCCGATGCGTCAGTTGAGCTGCCTATATCCCTCGGAAGGTTGAAGCCCCGAAGCCCGAACAACATCAGGCACATCCATGACAACTAACACGCAATATTTCATTATAAGGCGTGGTAGTCACCGTCCGGGGAAGATGTGATTTTTTTTTTTTTTTTTTTTTTTTTTTGCTTCCAAAGTATCTGTGCAGCTGCTGAGTCTTGCCTTGGGACCTGACTCGCACATTCATAATCTTGCCCACTATCGTTGACTTGCAACTTGAGAACGAAAGCCGCAGTAAACATGGTGACAGCAGAGCGTCGGAACATTGTTGTTCTCGGTGGCTCCTACGCAGGCGTGTCTGCGGCCCACTACCTTCTAAAACACGTGGTACCCAAGTTACCAGATCCAGAAGGATATCAGGTCACTTTGATTAGCGCATCCTCGCACGCCTTGTGCAGATCTGCTTGCCCCCGTGCGCTGATCTCGGACGGGCTTTTTGACCAGGAGAAGCTTTTCGTCAATATCTCCAAAGTATTCGAGCAGTATCAAGGCGACCGAATTCGCAACTTTCGCTTCATTCACGGCACTGTAATACAACTAGATCATACCGGCCGGAATGTTACCGTGAATTGTGCCGCAAAAGACACTACAGACACGATTGATTTCCATGCGCTTGTGATCGCGACTGGTGCATCAACGCCTTCTCCTCTTCTTGGTCTGAATCGCGACGTCGAGGACTTACGGGCAAATTGGACTTCGTTCCGTGAAGCCCTGCCAACAGCCAAGAGTATCCTCATCTCTGGTGGCGGTCCGGCCGGAGTCGAGACAGCTGGTGAGCTTGGGGAGCATTTGAATGGCCGCGCTTGGTGGTTTCGCTCCAAGTTGGTAAACCCTACGGTGCCGATCACTGTCGTCACTTCTGGGCCTCAGATCCTCCCACACTTGCGCCCTAGCCTCGCCAGCCTGGCAGAGCAGTACCTTGCTCAAGTAGGCGTGACGGTCATTAAGAGTGCGCGAGTCCAAAATGTGGCAGCCAGTGCCGACAGCAAGGATGCCTTGACCGCTAAGACGACAGTGACCCTTGAGGATGGGCAAACTCTTGGAGCTGACTTGTACATCCCCGCAACTGGCACTCGAGCGAATTCTGGTTTCATTGACCGATCTCTCCTGACACCTGATGGCCGTGTTGACACTAGTCCCTCGACTCTACGGGTTGATAAAGCCGGACCCCGTGTTTACGCGATCGGTGATGTTTCATCATGGGCACGGCCAACTGTTCACTTCATCGTTGAAGCTATTCCGGTCCTCTGCGCGAATATGAAGCGCGACTTACTCCTTGCCGCTGGTGAGGATGAGGGCTCGGTGGGTGAGGATCGCTTGTTCAAGGAAGACACCCGCGAGACCCAAATAGTCCCGATTGGTAAGAGCAAAGGTGTCGGGGCGGCTATGGGTTATCGATTGCCGAGTTTCCTGGTATGGTTAATGAAGGGACGAGATTACTGGTTGTGGACAACTGAGAAACTGTGGAGTGGGAGGCAGTGGAGTAAAGAGCTGTGATGACGAAGCCTTTCCTCAGGTCGTAGCGCATGAGTCCATTTAGTACACGTAAACGTATGGCATAATGCTTTAGCTCCATCACTATCATTTTGATACTCCTTGACGCCTATACGACATGAGCACTTGATTGCGCTATCTCACAAAGTGCATCAATGGATATAAGAACATACCTTTCAGAAAACTACCTCAGCGAGCTATGAGATCCACGGAAACTCGTCCATTTCGGTCCAACAGCCTCCTCTACCTCCGTCGCCGTTCTCCCCATCAGCCCTTTCCACAACTCGGACGTCCCAGCCGGAACAAGTTCCTCCACCTCCAGCGCGATCAAAGCACTAAAGACCCAATCCTGGCATCTTCTCACGCCATCCTTTGGGGCCGTCTCATCTCGGATCACACTGATCGCTTGCAGGCGCTGTGGGCCATCCAGCTCTGCAATCTTCGCCAATCCTATCGCATCCACCAGAATGAGTTCCGAGTCCGAGCGATGTTCGAATTCGTACCACAACCGCCTTAAATCAATGGGTCGGACGTGCAGAAGATCGCCGATGATTTGTGCCGGCTGGTGGATTGCGAATGCCCAGTGAGATCGATGCTTGGGGTCTTTGCCTTCGCCGCTTATTACCATGGAAAGGTAGTATGACATGGTTTGTTCCTTGATCTTGCAACGACGACTGGTGGTGGTAGGAGATTGTGGGATGCCGTGTCTCCCCCGCATTTCGCCGGCGTTACTTCGGCAAATACGACCTTCCTGTCAATTAGGGCTCGCTTTCGACCATTGAGCTTCTTCTCTATCGAACTGGTGGATGCACCGTGCGGATCTCCTCCACATTTGTCCACCCCGCATACTTCCTTGACTCAATCTCTTGATGCAGATCAACCTCCCCGTACTCGTTCTCGGTTCAACCTCAACCGAAAGGACGGGAGTGACTTCATTTCTTGCCCGTTGAGTCGTACCTCAGCGCTGCAGCATGGGTGGGGCCATATGGAACGAAAACCTGTTCAATGCCCAACAGCTGTTGAACCGTTACGAAATGCCCTTAGTATACAGAGCACTACGGAGGAAAGAGATAACAGTGGTGTTTACAAACCTGCTTGTGCCTCCTGTATGGAACATTCACGGCGCAACGGCCTGTTCTTTTTAGAATGTTTCCCTTCCCTGACTCCCAGACATACAAGATCCCGGTATAACCGTGAGATGGATTGGAAAACGAGACTACACGGAAAGTGACCCCGGGAGTTTGAGCCCTAGATTGTCACCCCGCAATCCGAGTGTGGAGGAATACCGGATTATCCGATACTGTCATACGTCTAGTCCGAAATTCCCTCAGCGATCGGCAGATATATAAGCTGTGTGGTGCCGGAGCGATGAATCAGCACTCCACGGTGGAAAAGCTCACACGCTTAGCATTATGGCTATATCTCGGAACTGGCTGGTGGCGGGATTTGTCGCCCTAGATTGGGTCAGCACAGGCTTTGCTAGTCCTCACATCTTTGCCTCTTCCCAACTGACCTACTCTTCGTTCACATACACCCAACTAACCTCAGATGCCTATGCCACGCCGATATCGACGTCTGTATCATTTCCAACGTCAATCGCGCCACCATTCAGCAAGGTATCTACTCTGCTGCCTAGCGACCTTACCTATACTACGTACTCATACGACCCTTCCGCAACGATCACGTCGGATAGCCAGTATGGTCAAAGTGCGTACGTCAATCTCTGGCAGAACTATTCGTTCGTGAGCTCCCCGCCATTCACCACCACAGTGTCTGCCACCCCGGTTGCGAAAGCTGAGCTGGTGCTACCCCCTGCGCTGTACAATGCGCCTTCGGATACGGGCTTGAAACTACCAGCAGATTTTATTTGGGGTGTCTCCAGCAGTTCTTGGCAGATAGAGGGCGGTCTTCAACTGGAAGGTCGTGGCCCCAGTGTCCTAGATAGTATGGGCAATGCGTTGTCCCCGGAAACCGCTGATAGGAGCGACGCCAACGTAGCGAACATGCACTACTTCATGTACGAGCAAGACATCGCTAGACTAGCAGCTGCCGGAATACCATACTACTCATTCTCGCTGTCTTGGCCGCGGATCGTGCCCTTCGGTGTGGCTGGTTCACCCGTCAATACCGAAGGCTTAGACCACTACGATGATCTCATCAACACCTGTCTGAAGTACGGTGTGACGCCGATCGTTACTTTGAACCACGTCGACGCGCCTACGTCCGTCCAGGCAGACCTGGACTCCCTGCCCGAGCATTTCCTCTACTACGCCAAGATAGTCATGACCAGATACGCAGACCGAGTCCCGTACTGGGTGACGTTCAATGAGCCAAACATCGGCGTGGGCACATTATTCCAGAAGTACCAAGACCTGACAAATGCACTCATCGCCCATGCAGACGTCTACGACTGGTACAAGAACACACTGGGCGGAAAAGGCAAAATCACGATGAAATTCGCCAATAACCTAGCCATGCCCCTGGACACACAAAACTCCTCGCACATTGCCGCAGCTTCCCGATACCAAGACATCCTGTTGGGGATAATGTCGAACCCACTATTCTTAGGAAAACAGTACCCAGATGCAGCCATAAACACAGCAGATATGATGGAGCCGCTCACAGACGACCAAATCAAGCATATCCATGGCAAGATCGACTTCTGGTCCTTCGACCCCTACACAGCGCAGTACGCATCTCCCCTGCCACAAGGCACGGACGCCTGCGCTTCGAACTCCTCCGACCCCCTCTGGCCCACCTGCGTCACACTGAGTAACGTCCAAGCCAACGGGTGGCTCATGGGACAGGCGTCGAACGCCTACGCGTACCTTGCGCCGCAGTACGTCCGCCAGCAACTGGGCTATATCTGGAATACGTTCCGTCCGTCGGGGATCCTGATCGCGGAATACGGGTTCAACCCGTTCCTTGAGTCGAACAGAACTCATGATGCGCAGCGGTATGATCTGGAACGGACGCTGTACTACCAGGATTTCCTTACGGAGACATTGAAGGCTATCCATGAGGATAATGTGAATGTTATAGGAGCGTTGGCGTGGAGTATAGCTGACAACAATGAGTTTGGGAGCTATGGGGAGCAGTATGGGTTGCAGACTGTTAATCGGACGGATGGGAAGTTTACGCGGACGTATAAGCGGAGTCTGTTTGACTATGTCGATTTCTTCCATCGGCATGTCCAGTCTGCGTGAGTTAGGGCAAGTGGTAGTAACATTGGGTGACTTTGGACGAGTTCGTTGTTTCAAGATCACCCTATAGTCGCATTCTGTTATATTTTTAGCTTCCCATGGCACAGGCCAATTGACGCCACCTTATTGCTTATACTGAAACGTCGTTGGTTTGGTAGGTCAATGTTCTATGAGATGGGCGTGGATTCATCTTCATACAGCGTTACTGTCCAGATCTTGCGGGATGTGCGAGTTTGCTACCTAGAAACATAGGCGAGTATAACAGGAAAGGCCAGAGCAAGTAATCCTAATCCTACTAAGTTCAGCTCGCCTTGTTATCGTGGCGACGGTACCGGGGTTCAAGTACAGGAACTGTTCGCTGGATGGCCGGAGATATTCGCTGCCAAGATCAAAACCTGTCTTTTGAATGCCACAAAAGCCAAATATTGGCCCACAGAGGAGACGGTGACAAATAACAAATGGGCGGACAACAATTGATGGCGTCCCTTGCATGACATGCATGCTGACCCCACAACGCCTTGAGCGCATCACAACCAACATATAAATACTCTATATTCCTCTGTCAGCTGGTTAACATGCTTCGTACATGCTACCATCATGTGGGATTACTACTCAGGAAAGGTTTTGTTCGTCACAGGTGCCTCGGGCTTTCTGGGGACGGCCCTGGCGTACCGCATAATCTCACAAGCGCCTGTGGCTCATCTATACTTGCTCTGCAGGGGCGGTCTGCCGTATGTATAATTTCAAACAGATAAGCAATGGGCCCAAGCTGACATAAATTAGGCGCCTGGAAGAAGTGTGGCGTCAATACCTGCCCCCCAAGTATATCGAGTGCCTCTACGATCCCGAGCTTGTCACCGTTATCACCGGCGATATCCTCGAACCTAACCTCGGCATCGATGTAGATCATCTTCAGGCATTATACGAACGCGTCAATATCGTTATCCATGCGGCATCCTCAATCAAGCTCATGACCACCCTTAAGAAGTTAGCAAAACCAGTCATCCACGGGAGCGACAACGTCGCCCAGTTTGCCTTCCAGTGCCAACGCCTCGATCGCTTCGTATATGTTTCCACGGCGTACGTAAACGCCTTCCTTTACCAGGAGTCGGATGACACCGACCCCTACGTGGAGGAGACAATCTACCCTCTGGGTCGCGGCTGGATATCCGATGTACGGGACGAATGGAAGCAGGTGCAACGAGAAGGCGACTCGCCGGAATACACCGCGCATAATTTCCCGTGGCCGTACGGCTACGCCAAACATCTCACGGAGCGACTCATTCTCGACAAATTCAGCGCCGCCGGCAGAGCAGACCAGCTTCTCATTCTCCGGCCGTCGGTGATCGCGCCCGCCCAGAGCTTCCCATACCAGGGGTTCAGCGTACCGAAATCCACGCCAACGACTATGCTAGCGGCGTGTTTTATTCTGACTCCCACCTTAGTCGCGCGTTTGGCCAGCCGCGCAAACGACCCGGAAACAGAGTCAACGATCGACGAGGTTCCCGTTGACGTTGTCGTGGATAGGCTGCTGGTTCACCTTGCGAAGGGAACAACAGGCCCTGTTCATGCTGTCGGTGGCACAAGAGCGCGCTACACATTCCAAGCTTTCTGGGCGCAGGCTATGGCACTGCGGAAACTTCCTTGGCCGCTCCGGAAGCAGTGGTTGAACGTGGATTGGCGGTCGAGCTTGTTGCACCCGATTGCTCGGGTGTATGTCATATACGCGGCTTCGTATAGATTCTCCGAAGCAAAGACGGTTGGACTGTGGGAGAGCTTGAGTGAGAAGGAGAGGTCGGAACTGCAATTTTTCACATCGGCGTCTGGGAACAACGTGGACCTCGCCGCGAGGGCAGAACAGATCCGGTTCGTGGCGGAGCAGTTCGCTGCCAAGGGGCTGCTTAGCTGGATCTTGTTTTGGTTTTTTTATACCTCGGGATTCTTCTGATGTTGGTTGTTTGGTACACTATGTGTCGGGAGTTGTAGATAATTGTTTCACATTGGCATGGTTGGAAGCAGACAGCATCAGTCAACTGTGGCGCAGAATATATTGATTGAAGAAACATGAAAACAGCTCTTTTGTCGGATAATTTATATGATAATTAATTGAACTCGAAATCAATGACTCGTAGAACGAACCTATCCTTCTGCCCATAGGCGACATTTCAAGGGCCAACTCCGCAAGCCGCGCACCGGTTTCACAGTAAGATCTAAGCGAAGACCCTTAAAACACTGGCGTCGATGGAGGCCGTGAGAACCAGTTCGATGTAACATTAATAAAGTTCTCGCAGTGGAGTTCGCAGCGGCCCCTGGCATCGTAGCCGAGTTGATCGGCACGTCTGCCAAATCATAGCGACGCTAATCTAGAACCCGAGGCGATTGCTTGTTTCACCTTGATTACCGACAGGAACAGGGTTGCAATGGCATTTGGTCGGGATTATCAATCGTAACTTGTTGGGGTAGTGTAGGCGATGGTACGGTATCTTGGATGAATTTGGCGATTGTAACGGTGGGGATTTGGAGTATAAATAGGGTTTGTTGGACGGGCCTGTAGTTGAAGAAGAATGTTAGCAGAGCTGACTGAGCATTCACATCGCACTCCTTGACGCTATTTCGTTTTGCTTTTGACTTTCTCTGATCGCTGGCCGATTGTACATTCATTGTAACTGTGTGTCTCCTGTTATTCCTGGATGGTGGTGATCGGAAAGCGTGAAGGAACTGTGCTAACGCATTGCCCTATTGATCAATAGTATTCAACCTAATATTCCACCGTCAATACCGTCAGCATGAAGTCTATCTCCGCCCTGACAGCTATCATCCCTCTTCTCCCCGTGACTGAAGCCCTTGTCGGTCTCGATTGGAGCGCCTCCAACATCCCCTCCACCGGCCTGAAGGACATCACCTTCCCCATGTCCATCGCCAACGCCCCGCGCGAAGAAGGCTACTACTTCGCACAGCAATTTAGCTTTAACGGCGTTTCCGACGTCGGCTACACAGGCCTCCAGCCTCGGCCCGACGCCAACGGCGCAAGCATCGTCCACGCCGTCTTCTCGAGCTTCATCCCCGGCAGCACCACCAAAGACGAAAACTGCAGCGATGGCGCCGACGGCGGTGCTGGCGTGAGCTGTGCCGTCGAGATCCCAGCACCCTACGCTCCCATGTATAACCTCGTTATCAAAAACACCGAAGGAACAACCTGGACCGGAACACTCGTGGACACTGTCAGTAACAACGAGACGCATATCGGAGAGTACACACTTCCCTCTGGAACGGGAGGCATTAAGGAGTCCCAGGTTGGGTTCGTCGAGTATTATCCTTGGAATGCCATGCCTGAACATTCCTGTGGCTCGTTGCCGTTTACTAATGCTACTTTCTTGAACCCTACCTCCACCGAGTCTGGTGTTCAGGCTACCGTGGGAAAGCCGTATGAGTATGGTGACTGTGTGGGACAGGTTCAGTTCGATGTGCAGGAGATTGAGGGTGGGTTTGAGGTTTCTGTTGGATTCTAGATCTAAATCTGTGTTGGTGGTTCAGAGTGTATATGGTGTCTTGCCTGGTTAGGGCATGAAGAGTCTTACCTTTCATACGTTAGTTATGATCCTGTTTTAATTCAATATCTTTGATGGACTACTTTTAGTGCTAGTACTACGATTGTCATTTCACTGCGATATTAGTAACTCACATATGAATAATATAGTTAATCGCTGTCTAGTCCTACTTAAACTAATATCTAAATATCATTATGCTATTTACAGCTTAAAATATAGAAGAAACAACGCTCAACAATATCTCGAGATTACCAACAAATTTTAGCCCATTGCTTGCTGCAGACCTGAATAGCCCTAAGGCAATCGATATCATCTTAGAGTGCAACCATCCTTCTCTCTCGCTTTCTCTCTATATCTACCATGACATCCAACCCCCAAACCCCGGGTTAGATCCCCCGATCATTCAACGCCCCCCGCAATCTCTTCTGGAATGAAAAGATGTGTTCTGCATCCAGCATGGTGTAATGCGTCCCGCCAACGTGATGAAACCTCGGTGGTGACCGCGTATGCTCAGCCCACTTCTCGATGTAGTCCTGTGCCCATGCCTTGTTCGATATCGCCACCGTAGCGATTGAATTACAGTAAAACGCGTCAATGTCTGCAACAGAGCCACTCGTCTCATGATCGACAATACAACTCTGTAGAGCGTGTGTTAAAGTAACCCATCTCTCCAAACTGGTCGCTGTCAACCCTAGTTCTATCAACCGCGTTGCATCAGCCTCACCCATGACCGTTTCTATCGCATGACTGGGAGAGGTACTATCACCTCCCAGCTTCGAGTATATATCCTCGATGCTGTCCTTCCGAATCAACCCAACCGTAAAGCATAGATGGAGCAGCATTTGCGTCCAGGTGAGTGCGCGCATCTGCGTGCCCTTCAGACTAGGTGGAAGATCCAACACACCGAGGAAGCGAACCTCGTCTCCGTTGTGCTCTAGGGCTTTGGCAATCTCGAATGCAAGTTTCGCGCCGTAGGAGTAACCGGCAATTGCGTACGGGCCATTCGGTTGCCTTTCCTTGATGCTCGCATGATATGTGCTGACGATTTCATCGAACGTGTGGAATGGCTCCTCGCCGGCGTTGAACCCGCGTGCTCGCAGTCCATACACGGGTCGATCGACGATGAATTTCGCTAGGTTCATGAATATCATGACGTCTCCGCCGACTGGGTGGACGAGCCAGAGGGGCGGCTTTTCGCCTTGCCTCTGCAGTGCCACTACAGGGTCGTACTTGTCACAGTTGCGGTGTTGGGAGCGCTGCTGCTTCAGCGCGTCTGACAGTGCCTGGATAGTGGGGTTGGTCATCAGAGTGATGAGAGGAATCTCTCCGTGACCTAGGTGATCTTCGATCCCTCTTTTCAGCCTGAGGAGCTCGATGGATGTGATTCCCAGATCAAATATCGACGTCAACACGTCAAAGTCCTCGGTGAGGTTCTCGGGTATCGTGCTGGTGAAGACGGATAGTAGGCTTTGCTCAAGATCCGATCGTGGCTGATGACGTGATGCTTTGTGGTGTAGAGTCATCATCTCCTCGTTCACCTCCTGGTAAGTCTTGTAGTCGCCTCGCTCGTACGCAGCCTTGATCTTGCCGCGGGAGAGCTTCCCCAAAGTCGATCTATCGAGCATTGCCCGGTCGAGCGGGAGAACCGTGGCACGCGCGCCGACGGTCATCATGGCTACTTTCCTGATCGCGGCCGCGGTTTCAGAGCGCGTGATTGTGTCCTCTGGTGTGTAGTTTGGGAGGTAGATAATGATGACCTCCTCTGTGTCTGCGCTGGGCAGGAAGATGGAGAAACAACAAGTGAACCCAGACACAAGGCCGGGGATCTTTGCTTCGTTGACGGCGGACTCGATATCGTACGGACTGTAGTTGACCCCATTTATAATGATGCTATCCTTTTCACGTCCAACGAGTACCAGCATTCCATTGTCGTCAATGAAGCCTCGATCGCCGGTTTTGAACCAACCGTCGCTGGTGAATGAGGACTTGGTCGCAGCGGGATTGTTGAAATAGCCTTTGAAGACCACCGGGCCGCAGATCTCGAGATTGCCTATTGTGCCTGCAGGAAGACTATTGCTTTCTCCATTACTTCCGGTGATTCGCATTTGGATCCCTGGAATGCAGGTGCCCACGGAAGCGAAAGGACGTCCGTGGTCGACATCATATTGCGGAAAGGAGGTATTATAGATGGCGCCTGCACAGGTCTCCGTCATGCCGAATCCCGGCACAATTACGTCCAAGACAACTCCATACTGCTCCAGTATCTGGGCCAGGCGATGGCAGGTCTGGGTAACGTTCCCCTCACCACCGGAGGCGATATACCGCAGGCTGCTAAGGTTCCCAGTATACTTGGCGCCTAAGGCATCATCCGCGCTGAGTGCGGCGCACAGTTTCGCGAGGAAGAAGTTAGGCGCAAAAGTCTTAGAGACATGGTGGCGATGAATCAAGTCGAGGAACAGAGTAACGTGAGACAAGACTTCGGCTGCTGGGACATGGACCTGGTCGCTATGATTGTAGATACCAAAGAGATGAACCTCTACCAGAGAGGCGACATGATCCATGCCGATCCAATTCAGCTGCGCAGTGTTCTCTGGCAGCGGAAAGGTCCTTGTCTTTCCCGAGACTGAGGCCAATATCTGCTCGTGGGTCAACGGCACAACCTTGCAGTGGCCTGAGCTTCCAGACGTAAACATCAGTGCTGCAATGTCGTCGCCATTGGGCTCCTCGGCCGGTAAAGGTACCGAGTCTTCGTAATCATGCGATTGCACGCAGATCGGTGTAATACATTCTTGGCCAGCAAATTCTGCGACCAGAGAAGCCGTGGTCAAGCATTTCGGGCTCTTTAGAGTGGCCGACAGATGCTCTAAATGGCGTAGTCGTGTCTCAGGGTTATTGGAGAACGGAGTCGACATAGCTGGAAGACAGCCTGCTATGAGAGTAGCCCAGAACCACAGAATTGAATCCCAATGGTTGTTAAAGTGTAGAAGAACAACCGATCCAGGGATGACATGGTATATTGAACGAAGAGCTCCGGCGGCCTTTTTTGCTAAACGCAAGAGGTCGGAGTATGAATATACCACTGGCGTATGTGTGTTTCCAAGATGATATGTGATAATGTAGCGTGAAGGTTCCCGCGAAGCAATAGCTTCGAGAAGATGCGGTAGGCTTCGGTACGACATGATTGCAATTTGAGTATGCATTTGCGCACTGGGATGGCGAGGGACTTCTTTTTATCTTCTCCGTATCATTAGGACCCCAAGTTAGGGCACAATAATCCATCACCGCCGAGCACCCCTTGCATCTGTTCGGTCGAAAGGCAATGGGGGCCAGAAACGAGGGATAAGTGAGGTAAAGGAAGTGGCGGTGTATGAAGCAAACTGCAGCAGCATGCTATCAGCTTCAGCACGCTATCTTCACCCACTGAGAACAGATGCTATTCGTGGGCAGCCTGCAGGGCATCGCCATAGAATCTAGCCTGGAAGTTGATGCCGGCTCCCTTCTCCAACAGAATGTTTTACAACATTATGATAGCCATTTAATGGTGCCTATGTTAGCGTAGTCACCCGACTTCTTGAAAGATAGGCCCTTACCTGTCTTTTCTCTTTTATATTCTTTTAATCGTTTGTAACTACGAGCTTGAATGGCGTGATGCCGGAGATTGCAGATAGTTCAAGAATTCTGACCGCCAGTCATTCGTTTAACGACCGCTGCCTTGGGTGTATGAGACATGCCGATTTATGTTGAAAAGAGTATAGCACCATAACCCAGTAGTGTCCTGCAGCGTAGTGATCGTTGATTTGATCCCAAGAAAATCCATCGTCAGTGGTGCACCTGCGGCAGACATATAAACCAGGAGACCACTTACCAAGAACAAGAAGATTGAATCGTATATATCCCAGGCCCGTCCCTACCACCCATCCAAGGCCGGGAGTTGTTGTAGTTGGTAGCTAGATTAGTAGGAATAGCCCAGGCCCTTCCCAACCTCCCATCCGAAGCCTGGGTTTATATGGGACATACCTGTTTGTTAAAATTGTTATTGTTATTGTTGTTGTAGTTGGAAGCTTGGTTAGTAGTATATCCCAGGCCCTTCCCATCCTGCCCAGCCGAGGCCTGGGGATATTTGGGAAGTTGATACGTACCTAAGTTGTCCCTGGCCCATCCCTACCACCCACCGAACCAGGACTGAAGTTAATATGTAAGGTTAGTAGGATAGCCCAGGCCCTTCCCAACCTACCCAGCCGAGGCCTAGGTTATTTGGGGATATACTTAGATCATAATTGTTTGAATTGACGTTGTTGACCTTGGCACATCACATCCACTCAACCAAGGCAAGGTCGATGTATCGAGTTAGTAAATTGTCAGTTCCCTGGCCCATCCCAACCGCCAAACCAAGGCCGAAAATTGTTGTAGTTGGAAGCTTGGTTAGTAGCATATCCCAGGCCCTTCCCATCCTGCCCAGCCGAGGCCTGGGGTATGGTGATATACGTACCTGGTATTGTCCCTGACCCATCCCTACCACCCATCCGAGCCAGGTTTTGTTGGCTTGATTGCTTGAAGTTAGTAGATAATAGCCCAGGCCCTTCCCATCCTACCCAGCCGAGGCCTGGGGTTGTTTGGAAAGTTGATACTTACCTGATATTTGTTTGAAGTGACGTCGTTGACCCAGGCCCGTCCCAACCACCCATCCATAGGCCGGATCGGTCGTCGAAGTATTTGATATGTTTGTTATCAGGAGAGACTAGCATGTGTTAGTGAAGAATGTATGCAAACCGTATGTTCATGTTGTTGTGTCTTACAGTTAACACAGTCTCCAGCCTCTGGCTTAGGTGCTTCATAAGCTGATGATGTGACCGTCTGTTGGAAGCACCCAAAGTATCGATTGGTCGTCAATTCGAATAAGTGTCTGTCGTATCCCAGGCCCGACCCAACCACCCTTCCATGGGCTGGGATAGTCGATATAATGGAGAGCTATGTTAGTAGTATAACCCAGGCCCATCCCGACCACCCATCCGAGGCCTGGATTATTTGGGGCACACTTACCTGATTGTTTCCCAAGCCCGTCCCAGCCTCCCTTCCATAGGCTGGGTTAGCCGATGTAATAGAGAGCTATGTTAGTAACCCAGGCCCATCCCAACCACCCATCCGAAGCCTGGGTTGTTTAGGGAGATACTTACCTGATTGTGTCCCTGGCCCATCCCTACCACCCTCCAAGGCCAGGCTGATGGTCGAGATTATTGGTCATCCACAAGTTGATTCCCAGGCCCGTCCCTACCACCTATCCAAGGCCGGAAGTTGTTGTTGTAGTTGGGAACTATGTTAGTAGCATAGCCCAGGCCCTTCCCAACCTGCCCAGCCGAGGCCCGAGTTGATATGAATAGTACATACCTGGTAGTTTAAAGCCATCGTAGTTGTCCCTAGCCCATCCCTGCCACCCATCCAAGGCCAAGTTGTAATTGGCAATCGACAGTCGAGATAGTGATGTAGTTTGTTTAGTCGATGTAGTCGATTCCCAGGCCCGTCCCATCCACCCAACCATAGGCCAGGTGAATAGCCGAGATAGTCGAGATGGTTAAAACAGTCAAAACCGAGGCCCGTACAATCCACCCGCCCAAGACCGGGTTGCCATCGATGATATTGATGTTGTTGTGCACACTGAGCTTGCTGCTTGTTGTGTTGTCGGCTACCTCTGCCCAAGGTGCTGTTACGTCAAGTGTCGCTTGTTCGGCAAAGCCTAGGTTATCCTGAGATTTGCGTTAGTCAACTGAACGAAACGAAGAAGATAACCAACCCAGTAGATTGGTTAAAGTTGCTTGCTGCATCGATGGACGCGTGCTGTGTAGTGTTTGTGAAGGAAGAAGAGGAAGAGCCAGGCTGGGAGACTGTGTCGAGGGGGGAATTGGAAGAAGGAAGGAAGCTACTGGAAAAGGAAGGAAGGAAGATGACTTCAGATTGAGCAGTTTCGGCGTGTATTTCGTCAGTATTATCCAACTTCTTGATGGCTTTCTTCCATGTGATCTTCACAGAGAGAAGCGAAGTCCATTGGTGATGGGCTTTTGTGATGCAATGAGGTCTTCGATAGACGTACTGTGTACAGTACTTAGAAGCACACGGATACAAAGACGGTATCGTATGGTGAAGAGTAGGCTTTCTGATCAACGACAACCCAGGGTAGCTACTGGCTACCTAAGATGCGATATGGTCATGATGATCTAAGTCCCCAGACACAATAAATGTTTGACTCTTTCACGGGGATTCTACGTATTACGCTGCCCAGTTCTATAGGGGATCTACACGGTAGAGGACGATCTGTGGTGCGCTGGTATATGTTATATATAGTATACGTGATAGCAGTACAGACGAGCTTTTCACCCTTTGCACAAGTCATAGCTCACACAAGTCTATCAATTAAGTCAGGAATGTCCTCGATTAAGAGTCCTTCTGTATGTATGATACGACTGAACTCCTACGCTTTGTCCGATGATACCCTGGCAGACAGAATATGCTACTGGAACCATATTGTGGTTCTGTACCTTTGAACCACCAGCTCGGATCCTAATCCCTGCAGCTTCTTTCCGACCTGCTGGGTCACTAAGCCCAATTTCGTCATGAAGCTCATAGGGCTACTACGTAAGGCCCCGCGTGAACTCGTCTGCGAGGAGGGAAGGGGCTCCCAGCATCGTGGTTGCCGGGTTTAAGATCAACGCATCTGCTGCTACCCTCGGAACCTCATAACTAGTACTACTAGTAGTTTTAGGACCAATATGCCTGTCGTATCCTTGGTGGATGGGTCGTGATCTGTCTAATATCTGGAGAACCATGGTTCCAGTGCCGGTCAGTTGTGGAGGACGGAGTATGAGTGGCTTACAATACTACACGAGAAATTGAATTTCCATATTGCATACATATCAAGTGTATATACCCTCACATGTATCTGACTCCTAACAATTCTATGGAGATCGTTGAGGGTTAGTCCACGGCGACATCGCCATTTGTCTCGGAAAGTCCGAAGTCAAGAATCCCGGGGCTCGGCTGGACCGGCAGAATCCGCTGAGATCATTGATTGATATGATTTAATTAAACTAGGTTAAATGAACACTTCTCCTTAAACGGAAAGACCACCTAACGTCTGGCACTTGCTGTCCGTTCTCTTCTACCGGAGTGGGGAGGTGCTGTCTTTCTTTAGGGCTCAACATCAATAGTTCCCAACACTGACCCACCAGGTTTCTCGACAACCAACACGAAAGGTAAGATGAAAGTAATAGTGCCTGGCTAATCAGAATAAGTTCTCCTCTTGACTTCCGCTTATATAATAGGCCTATCATGGTTTTGGCAAGTCGCTTGCATGAAATGTGGGAATGCGGGGAATGCGTTAACCTTCCTTCTTCCGCTTATATATCGATCGTCGCATTTCGGAGAAAGTATCTGAGGGAGAATCGGCCCTAGCCGAATTGCAAACGATTACAGCCTACTAGATATGCCGTGTATTCGCGGGTTATCCAGGATCTGATCAAAAGACCGAGTAAATATTGGGATGGATAGGCAACACTATTGTTTCAAGAGCCACGACCCACTAGTGAGCAATGACGGAGCCATAAGAATTATGCCGACTACCTCTAATCTGTTTTGCATATAGGAGGACTTTTTCTAGAAACCTATCATGGCAGTGGAACCGTCGGCCTAGTTTGTCCCGAAAGCCGGCTGGCTAGGACAAGAGCAGGCGGACTGCTTCAGGCTGAGGACATTAATTTACTCGCTACCCCGTTGAAGAAGCGAATATGACGCAAGTACCGATGGAACAACCGCGAAACGGCCCAAGACACTAGTTTGGGGATCGGCGGTGATCGGCATTCGTGAGATAAATGTTCTGGGACATCTGGGTGTTCTTCTGTTGGGTGTGAGGTGGCATATTGGAAGCGTCTGTAACACAATTGCATACTATTTCCGTGGAATCGAGTGATATTATTCATATACCGGACCGGGGCAAGTCTGGGGATTCTAACTGACAGGCAATTTAGGTTATGAATTTAATAAAGCAATGGCGCACAATTCGTCAGGATTCTTCAGAAAGTGGAGATGCCGATCCTTAGATGACTCGGAAAACCCGATAATGATCGTTGCCAGTTATTCTCGCCGTTGTAAGGAAAATAGGAGCATAGGAGGAGGAGAAGGAGGAAGAGGAGGTATACATTGTGATTTAATCTGATAACCGACTATGGACAGCGGAATTTCCGAGAATGTCTGCTCCTGTGGTGGGAGAGTATAAGAAGAATTATCGAATTCCCTCACCTTTTCAGGTAAATAAACTCGCAGATTACATTGACTAAGGCCAAGCCGACGTAAAGACCGCCGACCATCATGAATCTCCTTCTCCTAGCGGGCTTGTTACCCCTGGTGGCTTCCCAATCTCTGTCGGATCTCTACCTCGAGAACGCCCCGTCCTCTCCTCGGCCATACATCATCCCCCATTACGCCAACTCCCATGCAGTCACGATTGGCAGTCAACTCTACCGCTTCACGGTCACCGGACCATCCTCCGACTATGCGTTTACGCTGATGAGCACCAATGCCCCCTACAGTGGCAGTCTCGGCGTGTTGCCGCATATCCACCGCGAGCACTACGAGAACTTTTTCAACTTCAAGGGTCGCTTCCAGCTGTGGGCGCAGTATGGCGAGGAGGAACAACAGGGACGCCTGTTGACTCAGGGTGATTATGGATCGGTGCCGAGGAATACCACACACACCTTCCAGATCCTAGATCCGGACACCGAGATGGTTGGGGTGATCTCCCCGGGCGGCTTCGAGTGAGTCTAGAAACCTTTCGCCTATGAGAGGAAACGAATAGTAAAAGACAAGGGGCTGACCAGGATATTTGTAGGGACCTCTTCTACAACCTTGGCACCAACTACACCTCGGCCACCAACACACCCTATGTACCACAGGCGACCAATGATTCTTCGGCTGCCGGACCGGATGCTGGCGGAATATCCGGTCTCGAATCATTCGATGTCTATGCTCAGCTATCTTTCGAGCCGCGTCGAGACTTTGTCAATGGCTCCGCGCCATCCGATGAGGGCTGGCACACCGAGGACGCTTCCCTCGGCGAGCCGGGAAAGCCCTATTTCATCGCCAACAACTATGGCCCGAAGTACCTCAACTCCAATCACGGAGCGTACCAGATTGTCCAGCCGCTGGTTACCAATAGCCAGGCACAGGATACGAACTTCACCCTGTCGACCATTATTTTGAGCCGGCAGCGGGCGTCGAGTTCAGCCCCGACGTGGTCCACAGCCGGAGCCACGGCATTTGAAGTCCTGGAAGGATCCGTTCAAATTCAGATCGGCGACTATCCTGTTGCTCAGCTAGAGATGGGGGATGTGGCCTTCGTGCCTGCGACGGTGTCGTATAGCTATTGGACGCAAGGGTCCTATGCGAAGGTGTTGTCCGTCAATGCTGGTCAGGATGGCCTTAACCAGCAATTGATTGACGAGGGGAAGGAATGGGGATATCCGACATTCCCACGCTATTGATCGACCGGATGGAGGACATATTAGCGATCTACGATTGGTGTGAAAACCATGTACTGTAGTGTATAGCCCTGATATTATCATGGAGTTTGGATTGTTGAGCCGAGGAAAAGCGACCGGTCGCATTGGGTGGGATGGCGCCCGTTCCGTGTGTAATTACAGCGATCCCTGCCTGAGGCGCGGGGGAGCTTTTAGTGCTCGTCCGTAGTATGAATCATTAGTATGGGACGTTTGGATTCACTTGGACAACTTCACCAGCTGCCAAGGAGCGGGGGTTGCTTGGCGAAGAGAAAAGTGACTGATCTCTGAGATGCCAAAGGCCAGGATAAAGTACAAAACTGAACGGAAATGACAGGCGAAGGACGCCGTCAACAGACTTTATGCAAGGCAGAGCACATCGTCCCACATCCCACATTCATAGCTGGGAAAATAGCCGCCGCCTTGGCTGACTATCAGACCAGGATCTCACGCCATGTGCGGGCGTCATAGGCCGTTGAACTCGGCCGGAACGCGGACGACGCCATCGAGGGACAAAAGCTCCAGTTAATTTTAGAAGGAAGATTTGAGTTATTATCGTACCCTTGCATGGTATGCACCGGGGATCTGGACATGAACGGATGGAGAGGCGACACGATGGAGACGGTGTGATAATGCAGCGTCACTGCAGTAGTTTTGGTTATATATAGAATCATGGTTGTATTTTAATTACTAACCAGGAGGACAGCATTGGGAGGACGTAGGAGTTGAACTAGCTATGCATTAGCTACCAACGGAGTTGCAGACTCCACAGGGGTCGAGAGGCGACTCTGGTAGGGCTATCCTTGCACGGGACTGACTGCATATGCGAGAGGAGGAACCGTCCACCGTCCACCGTGGAGGCCGGATTTCGAAGATTGTCGCGTTTGGCAGGACTTTGATTTACACGGAGTTGCATTTGATAGATTAAACCCAGGACAAAGGATCCAGCCAATCTTCTCGAAACGTCTCCGGCATCAGATCGGGTTGTGGCCTCTCTTTTAGCCGGCCCACGCAAGGGGCGATCAAACAGGAAAAATCTCCCTTGTTCTAGGCCAAAATCCTGAATAAGACGATGGTTGCAAGCGAAATGGCACCGAGAGGCATTGATCATCGAGCGACTTGCCCCAGCGCGATGCTGCCAAGAAACCACTCAACATTCTCATTTATTAATCGGTGGAGCATCTCAAGCCATCGACTAGTGACATTCTATTACCAAGCATCGCGAGCCGAGACCTTGTCTATATGTCAGGCCACTATGCTTGCAACTCGTTGAGCTTTGCGATCATGACACCAATCCAGTCGGGGGCTGGGAACTTGTGATATCACCCAGGAAAAAAGCTTTCTCTCATACCAATTATTGGGCTTTTGGGATTCTGCTTTCGGTTCGTCTCCACCCTACCGTGTCCGATTATGCCGGTTATGCATTTATCTCCTTTATTCGAGTCGCCAAGAATGGATCTGCCAATCCTCCCGGCGAATGGGCGTTTGAGACTGCATCATTGTGGCTGTTTGTGAACAACAAAAGTCCCTTTCTATCGCCAGGCTAGAGTGAAGACCCAGTAGCCTAAGACAGCTCCACCTGTATCACATCACTTTTTTCTAGGCTTTCATGTTAGAGTAAGCAAGACATGCGTTTTCCGATTGGGGCGACGGCGCTGTCGAGGAGGTGATACCTTACGTACCTTCCTGTCTTGGGCTGTGAATGGATTCCTTGGCTGCTTAATTAAACGATCTGCACGTGCATATAAGTACCTGGCAAGTGTACCTGCAAGCCAGGAAGTTCTTCCCCCGAGTGCTGATCATCCCACTGTGAATTGGTTCGTGCTATAAGTTCCTTGCTATTCCCCTTCCCTCCCTGTCTTTCCCATTCCTTTCACCTGAAAACTCCTTTGGCTGCGACTGATTGGTGTTGACACTTGACAGTTTGCAACACGATGCGCGCGCTCTCCCTTGCAAGCCTCATTGGCATTGCCAATGCGGCGTGTCCGTACATGACTGGCGAGCTTAAGCGTCGCGACACAGGAATCGAAGATGCGACCGCCGCGACAGAGGAATTTTTGTCCCAGTACTATATGGCCGACAATGACACATTCCTGACCTCCGACGTGGGCGGTCCGATTGAGGATCAGAACAGCCTTCAAGTTGGAGACCGCGGCCCGACTTTGCTGGAAGACTTCATTTTCCGACAGAAGATCCAGCGCTTTGATCACGAGCGTGTATGGGAATACGATGTGGATTGTGAATACGGTTGGGCTAATTTCTGGTAACAGGTTCCTGAACGTGCAGTCCACGCTCGCGGTGTTGGTGCCCATGGTGTCTTCACCTCGTACGGTGACTACTCCAACATCACTGCTGCCTCGTTCCTTGGGGCTGAGGGCAAGGAGACCCCGGTCTTCGTCCGATTCTCGACCGTCGCGGGTAGCCGTGGTAGTTCGGATCTGGCTCGCGATGTTCACGGCTTTGCGACGCGCTTCTACACCGATGAGGGTAACTTCGGTATGTCTCTCGCAGAACAGTCGATCCTTTACACGGAGATTTCCTGTAACTAATGCGATTCTCAGATATTGTTGGCAACAACATTCCCGTCTTCTTCATCCAGGACGCTATTCTGTTCCCCGATCTCATCCACGCTGTCAAGCCTCGTGGTGACAATGAGATCCCGCAGGCTGCCACTGCCCATGACTCCGCTTGGGACTTCTTCAGCCAGCAACCCAGTTCCCTGCACACCCTGCTCTGGGCCATGTCCGGTCATGGTATCCCGCGTTCTCTTCGTCACGTCGATGGTTTTGGTATCCACACTTTCCGCTTCGTCACGGACAACGGTGACTCCAAGCTCGTCAAGTTCCACTGGAAGTCCCTGCAGGGCAAGGCTAGCATGGTCTGGGAAGAAGCGCAGCAGGTATCTGGCAAGAACCCTGACTTCATGCGCCAGGATCTCTTCGAAGCGATCGAGGCGGGCAGATACCCTGAGTGGGAGGTGAGTGTTGTCGGCCCTCGTGTCAGTCAGCATGCTAATTTCGTAGCTCGGCGTTCAAATCATGGATGAGGAAGACCAGCTGAAGTTTGGCTTCGACCTGTTTGATCCCACCAAGATCGTCCCCGAGGAATACGTGCCAATCACCAAGCTGGGCAAGATGACTCTTAACCGCAACCCTCGCAACTACTTTGCCGAGACTGAGCAGGTCATGGTATGCAGCCCTGAATCAATATGATTGTCGTTCTTTGGCCAGTTACTCATCAACTTTTGCAGTTCCAACCTGGCCACATCGTCCGTGGTGTTGATTTCACCGAGGATCCTCTTCTCCAGGGCCGTCTCTTCTCGTACCTCGACACCCAGTTGAACCGTCATGGCGGACCCAACTTCGAGCAGCTGCCCATCAACCAGCCTCGCGTGCCTGTGCACAACAACAACCGCGATGGAGCAGGTAAGGCCTCTTCCAGGACCCATTTTATGTATATCGGTTTAGGATGCTAAGCTCATCTAGGCCAAATGTTCATCCCCCTGAACCCCAACGCCTACACCCCGAACACTCTCAACAAGGGCTCTCCTAAGCAGGCCAACCAGACTGTGGGCAAGGGTTTCTTCACGACCCCCGGACGCGAGTCCACTGGCCGTTTCACCCGCGCCGTCAGCCCGTCCTTCGAGGACGTCTGGTCGCAACCGCGTCTGTTCTACAACTCGCTTACGCCCGCTGAACAGCAGTTTGTCGTCGATGCTATGCGCTTCGAGAACTCCAATGTCAAGAGCTCGGTTGTACGCAACAATGTCATCATCCAGTTGAACCGCGTGTCCAACGACCTGGCCCGCCGCGTCGCTCGCGCTATTGGCGTCGAGGAGCCTGAGGCTGACCCAACCTACTACCACAATAACAAGACGACCGATGTTGGTACCTTCGGACAGAAGCTGAAGAGATTGGACGGACTGAAGGTTGGCTTCCTGGCCTCGGTTGAGACTCCTGCCTCCATCGAGGCCGCCTCGCAGCTCAGCAAGCAGCTTTCCGAGGACGGTGTTGATGTTGTTGTCGTTGCGGAGCGTCTCGCCGACGGCGTTGACCAGACCTACTCCGGATCGGATGCTATCCAGTTCGATGCGGTGGTCGTCGCACCAGGTGCTGAGGGTCTCTTCTCCACCTTCTCCTTCACTGCGCCTAGCAATGCTACCTCCTCATCCACCCTGTTCCCAGCCGGCCGACCCCTGCAGATTGTCATCGATGGATTCCGTTTCGGAAAGCCTGTTGGTGCCCTCGGCAGCGCCGCTACTGCGCTCAAGAACGCCGGTATCCAGACTTCTCGCGACGGTGTCTATGTCGACAAGTCGGTGACTGGCGGATTTGTTGATGGTATCAAGGAAGGTCTCCGCACCTTCAAGTTCCTTGACCGTTTCAAGCTGGATCAGTAAGCCGTGTACCATTAGCCAGCGGAGGAGTTACGACCCTCGGGGCACTTTTCACTCAACATCACCCGATCTGTGATTTGTTTTGTGGCGTGGCCACTATTTCTTCTATGTATATTTGATTAGTAACATATTCAATAAACATCTCGCAGAGTATTATAATCAATACATGTGTGAGCGACTGGTAAACAACTAGATCTCAACGTCTACATCCGAGAAACATACGAGCAGCCAGCCTTAGCAGGCTCAATACTATGACATCTGAACTATAATACTCAACTAATTCCTCCTTTGCACCCTTGCTGGTAGCTAGTAGCTCCTCTATCCGAGTACAGAATTTAGCTTAAAATCACCTCTAGTAAATTTCAAGAATTATTAAGCAGCTCCACAATTACACCAAGAACAGTTCCAGAAAAAAAAATGACGAATTGGTATATGTTTCTGTTAAATTAAACATGCATAATACCCCTTATATTAATATCTATTGAACAATAGTAAGCATAGTGGGTACTTTGGACGGAGTAGTTAATCTTAACCTCTTCCGCCTAGCAAAGTTAGTAATATCGCTCGCTGACCGAGCCTTGGTATCTGAACTGGATAGACATTGTCTCCGGTATTTTTACTTGGGAATTACTGTTATTTGTTTACATTTGCTTGGCGTAAAGTGAAGGTGTGGTTGGAATATTTATGTATTCTAGATCTCGTTTGACACTTGTCTGGCAACAGAGAGAGGAAACGAGAAATTCAGGGAAAAGAAAGTGAGGTGAAAGAGGAAATACAGTCAGACAACCGCATCCACCAGGCCGCAGCGGGTGGAAGTATCCTAAGTAGAACAAAGATTGTAGTTGAATGCTCCCAAGCTCTCATTCCCCCAAGAGAAAGCATGTATTTACGTCGTGAACAAACGTCACCCACACAGAATTGTTATATCAAAACCTTTACACCCTTCGACATGAACCTCGGCATGGGAAAAGAAATCATGCACAGCGATCACGTCCGTTTCATCCGTTTCATCCGTTTCATCCAGCTCCAGATCCAGCCCGCTAGAACGGAAAAGAACAGCCAAAACGAGAGAAATCTTGGCTGTGGCCAGATGGTGCGTCCATGTTGGTTGTCCTTATATATATGTCAGATCTTGATCCCTGTTTTATACGATGCTTACAACTAAACTAGTCTACCTGATGTCTACAGAAGAGCAATTATACAAGGCATCGTGGAATAATCTGCTAAGACATAACTTCTAGCGGAGACCCGCGCCAGTTTCGGGTTCAGGTTGGTCCAGCGAGGAACCCACTCTAATTCTTACATTACGTTCAGTTAATTCAGTCCAGTTCAGTTTCGAGTGCCAAAACTGAACTGACCAAAATGTGTAGGGCATTGTCAAGAGGAGAATGGAAAGTGGACACAACTTTGGCGGTGCACTTACCTTGCTGAACCTAGATATCCTACCGGAGCTCAATGATTGCATGATGTAAGTTCATCCCAGCTTCAGGTATGCAAGTAGGGAAGTCTGAACATCAAATAGTTCTATCTAGAGGAAGTCTGTGTTAATTTGAACTCGTGATATTTACCTAATAGAACACGTCATCTGCAGATAAAGGGACTGAAGTCTAAAGAGCACACTGAATGTGGCTCAAAAAGCCCGAGGCCTACTGCAGGTGATCTACAGTAGATCCCAAAGAAACAGGATACTATCCATTTATACCTATACAACACTGCCGCTCTATCTATACTGGATCTAGCCTCATTGCATGGCGCGCTTCACAGTGGGTTGAGCCGATACTGGACAAAAGCGTGGTGGATATGGAGGGTGACATCGCTGTTGTCTGACATTTTCCTCGTTAATAATATTAGTCTATGTATCAGTAGTGCTATGATACTTTGCAAAATAGAAGGGAAAAGGAAAAGCTAAGCTATTATTCATAGCCCCGACCTGTATCCAGGGCACGGACGCCGATCTAGCCTCATCTATGCAAGCGAAGCGATATTAGGCTCAGGCACGAAGGTGGGGATATTCTGCAGCATTGGGCAACTCGATGGTAAAATGGCACCTTGAGGAATTGCCACGTATTCCTGCAGATGATGTGAAGATCTCGATTACTATTTCTCGCTTCATGACAAGAGTGCCCCTCACTCATGGCCTGGCTCTTGGTGTATTTGTTCTCACTACACCTGGAAAAATATCTTAATATCAAGGCTACTACCTACAATAGTTAGGGATCCCAATAACCATAATATATGTGTGTGCAACAGAGAGAGAGACAAGGAGAAAAAGACAGAACGGGATTTATAACTTCTACGCTGGCCAACAGCACGATACACACAGGGCACCTCGTCCTGCGTTCAAGGTTCGAGATTTCGCGTTTGCCATTTGACTGCGACAGACACATGTGCAAAGCACAGACATTGATTTGGCCATGATTAACTTCTGTATGCGTTATGAAAGATGACCTGTTCGGTAGTGATGATCGATGCTGCGTCCTGCAAGACAACGCAGAGCTGCACAGCCAACTCACACTCACACACACTCGGCAAGCAGATAACAAAAAGTCGGAAAAGAAGCATTCCCCGCAATTATGGGCTGAGTCCAGGCAAAGGTATATATTACGGTCATGATCTGTCAGATACAGTCCTTTAACATCTCCAAGTCCCTCATACTGTGGTCAAATCTAGCATTTACACTTGGACTCTTCAACACCATGGATCTTCCTATTGGTAAGCCTCCGGGCATGACCCCGGGCGAGATTCCCAATGACGATGATATGGGATTCAATGATCCGCAAAATCTCATATGGATCAACATGATGGGAAGTGGTATTAGTGAGCGGTTTAGGGATCGCATCGAGGAGTTTAAGGATATGCTCAGATTGACTCACCAAATGGCGACCATCCACGCTGGCATTCAGGTAATGCAGCGGAAAGCTGAGGGTACCCTGCCTACTGATAACAGTGACTCATCTCGGTGGAAACGCTCTCAATATCGTGCTAGGGTCTTGGAAACCTATTTCCAGGATGGCACCTATCCATGGTGGGGTTATATCCAGAGTCCAGACTAGATCAATGTCAATCAAGGCTGACAGTATATTCAGGATTAATCCCTCTCAACACGAGACTGTTAGTGAGAAAGTCGACGTCGAAAAGCAGTCTTTTCACGCAGCATTGGTTAATACCATGCTGAAAGGGATTTCACGCGTCGGGTCACTTTCGCCACCACTCGAACGTATCGTCAAGGGAGTTGCAGATACCATCAGTGGCACAGAGTTCACGCCTAAGCAGCAGTCTTTCTGTGGTATGCTCCAGGTATTGCAGTATGATGAAATTAGAGACGATCTGCGCGTGTGTGAGTACAATACATGTCCTAGGGATGTAGAGACCTTGCACTAATTAGAAGAAAGCCATTCGAAACATTACATATACCTTAGACCAGGAGATGTATAAGGTTATCAAGGGCAAAGACGCTCTGTCTCAGATAAATGTTGAATGCGACTTAGGTCGAAATAGCTTCGAGTATAGCGAAAGGGCGTGGAAAATGCTTCAGTCTGAAGTTGAACGATATATCAAAGACATTGGTATTTATAATATCGAAGATCCGCTGACAGTTCAACTCTAACTGCCACCGTGCAACTTGGATCGATGGTAGAATGTCCTGGAGGGAGAAGATATGCATTCGTTTAATTCTAGGACAGATTAACTGCACGTGAATAAAATTGTAAAATCTCGATCTCAGTCACTCGCGTGGTATTTGCTTACGGTTATATCTAGTGTAGTTGGCTAGGACGTCTCTTGTAATGGTGGAATGGAAATTAACGCTATAGTGACCCCAGAATAGAAGGGGCTTCTCTAACATTAGCCAAATCAGTGCCATCAGGAGATACAATTTAGGCTTTCTTAACACTGTATCATTCACAGAACGGCGCAGTACGTATACAGAGGCTTAGTTGCTGCACTCGTGCATTCAAGACTGAGCATGCGTTGGCATCAGTAACTACTTTGGAACCTACCAGCACACTACCAATGCACTGTCCAAGCTACTGATCTACTGTCCAGACTATCTCCTGACCACAAAACTCCTCAGTCTAATAATCCTGTCGCTGACTATCAGAGAGTTCAAGATCTTATTGCTATCTGCTTTACAAAGGTTCAACATACAGTCATCTATATCCACGCTGTCACTAGCATATTGGGTGATGAGATTCGAGAGGTTGTAAGCCAGTATTGATAAGTATTACTAGTGGAAGTTTCTGACATTGTTTGGAGCAGGAAGATGTAGAGACAGAGTCCTGTGGATCTGCGAGTACGTATTATACCGATGACCTTAAGTGTCTTCATGGACGACTGCTCCTACTACCTCAGAACGACCGATAGATGTGAGCTCTCTTCCGGACTGTCGCCCTGTATAGCCAAATTGCATCCTCTTCGAAGATCTATGAACGGAGTCTGTGGTGGTGAGGGTTAATGCTGTCTAGGAAGAGAAGGCTGCGCTAAGAGCTCATAGGACCGCCCAAATGAGAGGATACAGAGCCGCGAAGAAAGCCCAGAGTGAATCCAAGCCACCCTATGCTGTGCCGGCGAAGAATATCCGCCGAAATGCAACTCGGAAGGCAAAACGGGCTGGTGACGCGTTTCAGAACGAGAAGGCTAAAGTCAAAGCGACAGGCGATATTCAGAAGACTAGACAGGCAACCTTGGCGTTGAATATTGCGGAGGTGGAGCGGTGGGAGTTCGCGGTCCAAAACAGGATTCCAACGAAAATTGTGCCATCGAAGGAAGTTCGCGGGATGATATGTGAGCACAGAGCTAAACAAGCTCAGAATGCATAGCCTTTCGTTATATTGAGGTTCTGTGCTTACAGCTGAGCAATGCTATAGGTGTTTCTGCTTCTATGGATTTCAAGTTTAACCACCACATCATTTGGGCCATTGAATATACTTAGTTAGGGGTAAATGTTACTGAGATAATCAGTACGGAGTAATAAGCATTCCCTAATGACACATTGGTTCGTAAGACACTGTGCATCCGCTGCTTTAAGCAAAGCTATAGATAGGCAGTATCAAGCTGTTCTGAAAGGGTATATAGACAGATATGTTGTTAAATTGATATCACAATAGACGGGACACTCGCCAGTGATTTCTCCAGGCATCTCAGGGCATAGAAGTACTGCATAATCTCCTCATCTGAATCAAGCGTGAAATTAGGAGATCTACAGGCCTCCCCGTATCCAAACTGTTATCAAGACATTCAAAGCTTGCAGCAGCAGTCTTGTCATCATATCCCGTAGAGGTACTATTAGGGCCCAGTAGTCATGAACCTCCGTCATCGCTGCCTTCCGAGCCTTGATCTTCTCGGTGTTCTCTATTCTGTACCTTTCAGAATAGGCTCTAGCCTTCTCCTTTGCCTCAGGTTCCTGGTGCCTTCGATGCCGCCTCTCAAAATTCTGGTGATACAGCTGCGGGTTGATTTTCCTCCACGCTGTCACCCTCTTCCAGTTCCTTTTCCTCTTCGCCGTTGCCATGGCCTCTCCAATGTGAGATGGCAGTCCGGCCCACTTTTTTCTAAACCTCTATGTTGTAGCGGCTCCTTTAAGGCGCAGTGTGAACAGGTGCCTTTCCAAGTGAAGACCTCTGCAGGGTTACCGAACGGGCATGCTAACACCTGGTCCTCATTAGGGTTCCTAAAGGCCCCGAAGATGTAGGTATACATAGCCTTGGCGAAAAGACACAGCTGTCTTAGGCTCTCCTCTTTCTTGGTGGAGGGGAAGTGGCAGTCCATCTCTACTTTGAAGAGCGTACTGAACTTCTACTGGTGCCCTTTTCCCCCAAAGACTAGCTTGTGGGTGTATGACCACTTTGTTCTATGGTCACTGTCGTTAGTAAAGGTAGTAAGTGATATGATATTGGTTTTCACTGAACGTACCTTGGCCCTGGCTTGCTCTCATGCCCCCGGCGGTGGTGGGTAAGCCCACCAGCATTCCACCCAATGGCACTCCCGGTGTAAACGAAGTGGTCGAATGCCGTAGGGTTCTCGAGTCTCTCGAAGATGAGCTTTAAATAAACTCCAAGCTGTCTAGTTGACACCCATGGGATGTCGATCAAGTCTTTGAAGGTCGGGGGCTCTTCCCTGTTCATTAATACCTTCACTGCCGGCATGGTCCATTTCATCATCTCTTTGACGATATCGTCGTCCGTCCAAGATTTGAGGGTTTCCTGCCACTCCACACAGTTATTGTGCCCCCTCATCCTGGGGATCACCTTCCGAGTTCTCTCTTCAAACAAGGAATTCATGATGAGAAGAATTGCATTTGATGTAAGTAATAGTGTTATAGAGAAAACTAAGTGTTTAGTATTGTGAGGGGGGTAAATGAACATGGATGGAGAGATGTGATCAGAAGAAGAGGTTGGCTCTTTAAATAGGGTGCAAAGGTAGTGAAGGAATGAAAAAGTTCGATTGCAGCCTCTGGAGTGATTTGGTACTGGCCAGATGAAAACAAAGGAATACTGCACTATATTAGTGAATCTCATGGTGGGGGCAGGCTCACGATATCCTACTGGACAATCGACTGCTCCATCTTGAGTGAAGGAATAATAGTGGCTGGGCTCATTTCAATATTTTCGTACTTCGCTGAATATACAAGGACATGACATTGAATAGTACTGGCCATCATCATTGATCGATGTCTGACCCTACCTTGAATACCCAGCAAATTTCTGTAATAAAGAT